ATAATAATAATAAATCTTTATGTCATTCATAATTGTAGGAATTCGACAGCAAATGATAACATATTTAATAAAACATTTGGTGATTACTGTAATGCAATTAAAAATGATATCATTTGAAATGAAACATATTCATATGTATTGTTCATTTCAAGGATTTTCAAAAAATTTCAAAAAAAAAAAATGTACTGTATCGTATCAAATATCTGAAATAAATGAGAAGGAACGAGTTAAACCACAAAATATTTAACACAAACAAAATTATTTGATTGGGGAGTGAATTCAAAGAAAAATAAGAAAGGGTGAAAAAATAATGGGAATGAAATTATCGAGATTAAAATGATGTTACGATATCGATGAGGTATGAAAGTATTATCGATTGAAATTTTGTATTCTTATTCGAAAAATAGAAAAGAAAATAAAAACCTAAAATATAAAATCTTAATTTAGGACTTAGATAAAAGACTATGGATTGCTTATTTGCTTATGGCTATAAAAAGTATATCAACAATTACATTATTAAACTATCATGATTTTTGTTTTTCCTATTATTGTAACATTCATTTACGAATCAGTGAGTGGTTGTATTATATATATTATGTAAATTTAATGAATACAAAAAATATTCATATTTTAATGACTCCATCGTTTTTCATAAAAGTAAGAAAGCATTGCTCATATTTATGTTTGATATAATTTCGCCTACCATAAATTGGGTTTAATTTAGTTTAATCCTAGCAAGCATATGTTATTTGAATTTAACTCAACTTTATGATAATTTTTGACTTAATTCATTGTATGCTTCAATCTAATCATTTCACTTCAATTTAATTTCATTAAACTCAAACCAATCCCAATTTTTGCCAGTCTTTTTTTTTTCAAATAATTTAAACATGATATCTTGTGATGCAGTTACAAGCATCATATTAATCATTATACAAATGTTATCCATGTCACCACAAAGTTGTGACATTTTGGGATTTGCAAAATGAAATTAATAATGAGGAATATTAATTTCAAACGAGCAGTATGGATGGAAAATGATGAAGGAAATTTATGATTTTTCCTTAAAACTCTTTAATTATCAGCATTCATTGCCTTCCTTGACATGCTCTATTTTGAACACAATTGTTAATCAATTCATCCATTTTTATTTTCGATTCGAAAGTGGGATTTACTTCGTTCTATCTCCAGTTTAAATATGAATAAAACAATGATAATCAAGTTGTAGTAATAGCAATTATAATGTTCAAATAAAATTAAGAAAGTGACAGAGATAGAGAAAGAAAGAAAGAGTAAAAAATGAAGAACAAACCTTTTGAAATACAATCAGAAAAAAAGATTTGAAATGACGAAAAGTTATTTCAACTTCGCAAACCAATTAACATCATCAATTTACAATGGGAAAACAACAAAAATCAACTGGTTAAAGCGAAGCAAGCCTGAAAACATAAACAATAATATAAAGTACAAAAAAACACTTTTAGTTAACCACGGAGAAACGAAATAGAATCATTTGACAGATAATATCATAAGCATTAGTCAAAAATCCTAGGTGTGATCGTTATCAATACAGAAGTGTCCCATCGAAAGATGCAATAGTAAGCATGAAGTTCTGGTAATTATAGCAGTTAGCACAGTTATTCAATTTTTATGATCAGAAAAAGAATATAAACTTTACCGGAAGTATAACCAGCGGATCAATTCAAATAAATGGTTGAAAGGTCAATCTCAATGTTACATTATACACTGAATCATTAACAAGAGATGTATTGCACTGAATGCTTGAGTTCTCCTATTCCGGTAATATCCCAGAAAATCTATAAACAAAAAAAAATCCTTCCACAGCAACAGACATGTTTTTCTTTGTTTCTGGACAAAAAAAAAATCGATAAGGATATCAGTCAATAAAAAACAAATGATAAGGGCGTGTTGACGGTTCAGAATTACGACCAAACTGATCAGTTTGAGATAAGATTTACTCACAGAAACAAAACAAAAAGAAGAGAAAAAAAGATTAGAAGAAATAAACAATGTCAGCGTATCTAAAAGAAATAAATAAAGATAAAGAACGAAGGATAAATAACAAATAAGAAAATACTTGATCACTAATCTCTTTTTCTTTAAAATATTAGAAATATATGCACAGAACCTTAAGGTCGAATTCCACACTTCAGTGTATGCATAATATTAGGGTAAAAAACGGCAACAAGGCTGTAATCTTCTCTCTAAAAAACAAAATGAACACTTCCACGTAATTTAACCTTACAAATTTATCCTTTTCATGACGAAACATTTTACAAAAGCCTAAAAAACAATACAGTTACGTATACTCCTAAATAAATAGCGGTATTTTTCATTTTTTCATGAATTCTGACGGGCTACTTAAGCTTCGAGAATTAGATGCTGATGATGTGCAACCGCTAACAGATGAAGAGGTCGGCGACGAACTTGGCCTATTTCCTGCTTGACGTAAATCGCTTGTAGTCGAATCCGGTAATGCACGCATCTGAAAGCTTACGAAGCTTGTAACAAACTAGCAAAAGACTGTTTCTACATGCACAAATAACGAGAACTTAGATAATGTGTCTTTTAAAAAAAGAAAAAAAATTTTACTTCATAACAGCAGAAAGCCAACTTATTGCAGAATATATACCAAACATAGTGTAGCACCTCCTATGCTTAACACTTGTTGACAAGTCTAATTCACACACATGAGTTCGCTACTTCAAACAACAGAATTCACTTACTGATAACTGTTCATTGCTAGTAGTTGAATCAGCTATCGGCGATGTAGCCGTCGGCGTTTGGGACGTGATTAAGGCATTTGTTGGAGGAGTTGAAAGAGAAATAACACCAGGTACTGATATGCTAAAAAAAACAACATACTAAAATTCTGTTTCTCACTAATATCATTGCGCGTTAAACACTCCAACAAAGTGCGTATGTCACGACCGCCTCTTCCGTTTTGTCCTCCTCATGAGTTATATCCCTAACTAAATTTATCTTCCACATTAAACAAAAAGATTTGAAATTGTAATTTTGGAGCAAAGCTTACTTTGAAGCAGATGAATCTGATCGTGTATCTGAGGAACTCTGAAGCGGAAATGTGCCGTTATGCGGAGAACGACTGTTTTCATTGAAATAATTCAAAAACTGATTCGAAACTAAAACCAACAATTGTAGCGATGAAATGTACTCAAGAACACATAATCAAGTATAAAGAAAAATCTCATTTATCATCAATCATCAATACGTCAGGCACTGATTATCAATAATATATATATATATATATATAGAACAATTTTTATCTATAACAATAATACAAACGAAACTCATCTTACATACCTTCTTTCAACAATGCTTGATCAGCTGAACCGGATAAACCGCTAGAAGCAGTGATCACATTCTGAACAATACTCGAGTATTCGTCATCGGTTAACGGTCCTCTGGATGGTATACGCACACCAGGGACTGGAGTTCCAAGAGTTGAGCTTGCAGTAGGCACCGGTGTACTGCGTGGAGTGGTTAGGGGGCTGTTCAGAGTAAAAGGTACAGGTGAACCCATAGCTGAGTTGCACGCATTATCAAACAGCTGCTGCTGCAAATATTTCCCTCTTGCCAATATCTTGCATAACTGCATTAACGACAGCAAAAAGTTGTGCCTAACTTTGCCACTAGTTATTAATTTCAACATTTTTCAGAAAACTCGAACTTTAGGTTTGGTCTGGTAACGAGTGCGAATTTGGAAGGGAGAAGGAACAAATGAGAAAGCAAAGTGACAGAAGCTTTGTATAACAGCCTTGGGAATTCATATCCTCTACTGCTTCCAGTTATTTGAATTGCCAGCAACTTCCTCAGGAATGCTTATTACAAAATCAGAAAATAAAAAAGATCTTTGGATTACATTTTAAAGTGCAATGTGACTTAAGCATTACGGACCGTATTTAAAAAAAAAAGGGTAAGAACTTCATTCAAAGCAAACAGCCTTCAATTTTAAAGTGAACCTAAAGTTTAAGCTAAATTTAACTTTGCATATTATTTTCTTAAATTGCCATTAATCTTACATATGGTAATCTACATAAATGACATAAAAATTAGCTAATTCACAGCAAAATTACCTGTCGAGATACAATATGACTTATTTTAGCATCACGAGCAGCAGCAGCTGCAGCATTGTTATTCGTATCGCCAATGTTAGAAATAAAAGATGGACGATGTGCCACAACAGGTCGAGGAGTTACCAATAACTACAAACAGTAAGATCAAAAAAAAAGTGTCCTCAGAATTCCAAATGCTTGTCAACCAAACTGTTAACATTTCTAGACGTTTTAAACTGGTTTTCTCCGTAGACCTAAATCCTTGTTAAGAGGAAAAGTCAAAAATAAAAACAGAGTAGTATTGCAGCAAACTCCGTAGACGCTAAATCCTTGTTAAGAGGAAAAGTCAAAAATAAAAACAGAGTAGTATTGCAGCAAATTTTATACAGCTTACAACTGAAGAAACTGAAAGACAGATAAATAAATAAGAAGTAAATAAATATAAAGAAGCAGATGTGAGGGAATACAAAAGTGAAAGTGTATACCTGGGGATTTCCTGGCTTAGTCGTGAATTCTCGCACTGGCTGATCCAACAATGCAACCTTTTTCGCAATTCGTGCTTCCACTTCGGCAGCACTAGCAGCATCGTGTTCCAGCATACGTCTTTCGTCTATAATCACCGTTTGTGTGGAAGAGTCAGGAGGTGAAATATCCAAACTGATACTACGCTTTACTGAATTCTGACTTTCGATACTGTGCAATACGGTGCTGAAAAGTACCGTGGATTATTAATAATGTTACAACATAAATAGGATTAGAAACAATATCCCATTAGTTGTTACACCAACTAGTGATGGAGATGCTTTATGGCGTGTTCCAGGAGTAGCTACTGCATTATTTATTTATTTATTTTCTTCTTACAAGGCCGATTTTATGGTTGCTGAGTCAACTGTAGATTATTTATGGGCAAATTCATGGTTATATTATTCCTTAAAACACAGAACAGCCGAATGGTTCGTGCCTGCATTTTTAACTCATAATGAGATCGCCAGATTTTTAATTTAGCATAGTTGTTCTACCGATTAAGGCCGCAAACTGTTCCTTTTTCTCACGAACTTCCGCTAACATATATGTTGAAAAACACAAAACAATCTGTATATATATTTTTAAAAAAAAAGTATAATCAAATTTTTTGAATAACGTAACATACCTAAAGCTAATGACATCACCATTTGATGTTGTGAACTTTGTCGGACTTGAATGATGCATATCGACAATATTTAGACCTGAAGAATCTCGCAACGCCATACCAAAACCATTCTGAGTAGTCAAATGTTGTTGTTGTTGATGCACATTACGATTACTTACAGCGACATTACTCATTTCTGCAGTCGCAGCCGGCAATCGTTCATTAGTTGATGAACTTGGAGAATGATTACGTTTCCTAAAAAAAGTGAATGCAATTAACATCATTTGCAACTGAAAAATCTTCGTAAAATCTGGTTGAAGTAAACTAATAACCCGATAACAATAGAAAGCCTAAGAGTTCCATTGCAAAGACGATAACTTCCAGAAGCTTCAAGCAAACAATAAAACAAATACATTGCGTGCTGATATTCAAATTCAGAAGCAAGCCGATAACAGGCAAATTTTCAAATGCTTATATGAGACACACCAGAGACAAGAAATTCTGTTGTAAAGAGTCTGTCTATACAATGTTTGCACAGGTTTCACCGGTACCGTAATGGATAGGGTCATGCTGAAATGTATAACAGATAGTTCTCTCATCAAGCAAACTTCACCTGAATATAACAACCTGTTCTACATCTTGCGCAGTATCACTTGGGTCTCGTACTTTGACATCGCGAGTCAAACGAGTAAATGCAGTTACGGTACCAATACCTAAAATTTAATGATTAATAAATTACGAGTATTTACAATCTTTTTCGTGGGTGTTAACCATTATTATCCAACATAAAATAGAATGAAAAACCACTTTGTTAAATTGTCGGAATTCTGGCTCTCATTTGGATCGTTTCGAAAATACCATCAAATTTTGCCAAATGGCATACAAATTTTACGACTTAAATTAGATTACAACAGGGCTAAGCCCAATATATTTTTTCCAGCTGATAGCTCTTGGCACAAAGTTGAAGATTATAAAACATCAAATAAAAAAGTGCTTTACACTACTACTTAAAAAGTTCCTGATCTTCGTCTATGATAAGTAAGATGGGATTTTCCGAACAAACAGAACAAAAAAAGCATTAAAAGGATTGCGACCTTCCTTTATGTTAAATATATATAAGGTCAAAATCATCGTCTTAGAGATCGTCAGTTATGGATCGCTTTCTATTTGTAATATTTCATAACTGCTTTGGACGGGCTTTTTCTTATTTTGATTCTGTTACATGCCAAATAAATTGATCTCGTTGCTATCAGCTCACCTTATATTTAAACAATTCATTGAAAAATGGAAATACTACAAATAGAAAATAAGACCAACGAAATGACAAGAACTGCATCGAAAAAGAGATATGAAGCCAATATACATTATACACACAATAAACACCTTATAGTAATTCATAACAGGACAGAAGAAAAAGAAACTAACGTTGCGAGGTTACTGTGGATACAGTGTTGTTTGTAAAATCTCTCTTCTGCTGGCTAGGATGATGTATTTGATAGCTCTCAGAAAGGCGACCTGATTGCCGAGCCGTTGACGTTGGTACAAGTAAACTCTCACATGCTGATCTAAAAATCTACAAGTTACCATGAATTTGCCAAACCTATCTGGCTGGCTGAGTGAAGAGCTCCTTCATTCATCTGTTTGGGATATTGATAATAAATATCCTTTCGCCAGTAATATCAAGAGCATTAACGCTGTTTCACTACACCGATTGACCCAGTTCATCCAACAGTTCCGCTTTATTGTAATTTTTTTTTAATCAGTTCACCGATGTTCCATAACCCTTCATAAGTTATGCCACCTCTCAGTGGTTCAAACCATTTAATTTTCATTGGCTAATACTGAGAATATCGTCTCAATCTGTGTGAAGCTTTTGCGAAATATAACTTTGCTATATTCATTATCACCATTCACACAATGAATCAACAAATGAAGTACAGAAGACACTGTACAAAATTTCAGTAGGTAAAACTAAAACTCACTCCGTCCTTGGGCGTAGTCCATTCGCATCACGGTGCATCAAAGATGTTTCATTTATACTAGCTGATCCAACATTCCCAATAGTTTCACTTGCTGCATGGTGTCTTTCCTGATGTAATTCGCCATGATGTCCAGCGGGAGGATGGGAGACGATTCTCACAGTATTATTTCGACTTCCACCTTCTGATGCATCCCTGATCAAACGTTCCTGTCCATCATTCGATGTTGAAACCGTAAAAGGTGGTCTGTAAGTCTTTAGTATTACTGAAAAAGAAAAAAATTGGAAAAAAACTGAAATAAAAAAAAGATTTCGATAGAATAATAAATTACCTCAGTTGGACAAGCCTTGTTCCTTCAACCGCACCCTGTACAACAAGAGTCCTGAAATAATTCGATCTGAACTTCCCTTCGGGTGAATACTCACAAATTTTTTTGTTAATATCAAGATATTATAGAAAGAACACCTAACCAAACATTAAAACTACAGCGATATCAAGCACGAAAAAGGACCTTCGATTACTTGCAGTGCCATCATCGCTTCGTTTTATCTGGATATATATTGGTTGACCAACAATACGTCCACCAATTAACTGATGTACCTCTTCGTTAACACTTCCCACGCTATCTCGTGAGGCGTGTCGACTACGTTTTTCCAACGGTTCGCCAGTCTGCAGTTGAAAAACCTTTTATTCTAAACCTCAGAAACGACATTAACTTTCTTGAATTGAAACCTGCTATACCTCCAACCTCCGTGCATGGTTGCTAAGCCCAATTTATGCTTTCTCAAATTCGTTATTGAACAATCTATATTCATTTTCTCAGGTGTTTAATAACTAAAATGGTTCTTTATTAAGATGTCTTCTACGCACACAAAATCTAAGCAAGCTAAACGTACTCAGAAAAACAGTGCTATTTGCCAACCTAATATACAGTAAATTCAGTATATAAAAAAAAAAAACTAAAAAATGAGAAAGAAAAATAAAGTACATCATCAGCTAAGAGATTCGGATGTTCAAAGTCCGGATGCGTCAAATCCGTATCCAGTGCATCGGCAATTGTTACCATTGCCCCCACCTGCGGTGTTCCACCTGGTCCACCCAAACTACTGCTTCGCATTCCAGTATCTAAATAAAACTGCTGAAACTGACATATTTTGATCAGTTAAAAATTGGGCACTCAAAGAGTAACTCTGGAAAGTTGATCGATTAAGGTGTTGAATTGTATCTCTATTCCCAGAAGCAGCGATCTAGGTGATTTTTTGATCATTCATACTGTAACAGCTTAATTACATTTTTTCAAAAATATTTACGAATGACCATCCTTGACAGGATTACGTTTCTCTCTCTTAACATCTTATTTTTTAACTCATTTAATCACGTTTCTTGCTCATTCGCTATACCATCTTGAAAAACAAACATGTTTGGAATGGTAACGCAATTCTCGAATGTAGAACAGTGCGGAAGACTTCAATGCAACAGCTGTCTAGGAGGCAGAAATTTAATTACCAGTGCTCTCAGTAACATCATGACCATCAGATATCCGATAATCCGCCACCACAGTTGAAGCAGAAGTAGGAGCAACGTGTCGTCGTGATGATGACGATGATGGCGGTGGGCTACCAGGTGACTGCCAATCCAAATCGTTATATGGTTCTTCTTTCTGTGGAATGATTTCTGCCGGTATACGTGCTTCGCCTTCAACCAGTGTTATTATTGAAGCTGTAAACATTGAACAATTATATTTATAGAAAAGTGTTTCGCATTTACAAGTCCACTTTGAGGAAATACGGAAGTGAAATGATCAATGATGAACAGAAAATACTGTGCTAACGCGAACGTATGATCTGGAAAGAACTTTTGAATGGATAGAACAATCAGTAATAAAATTTCTAAGCATGCTAACAATTACCATGCAAATAATCTTTTTAAGTGTCAACTCGATTTTTTTTTCTCTTTTTTTTTTGTTTAGCAAAGTTTGAGGAATGAATAATAAATAGTGATGCTATCTGTTGACCTGTAAGTAACACATGCATGCTTTTCACCGTCAGAAAATCGCAAACCCTAAGCGAAATCAAACGTTTAATTCATGCGTTTAAAAGAATCAATTAGGAATACACCATCCACAGCGAAACATATGAACTGCAATGAACGGAAATTTTCATCTGCAATTCAAGTGGTTACAAAGCCGCAACTTCCTTATGATCAACTTGATCTGATGGCAAAAATAAGCACAAAGTATAGGAATAAAGCAATAAACGAACATTTATGATGTGCTGATATAAAAAACACTCTAGAAAGCAGGGATGAAGCAATAATCGTGTGAACTGGGTGGCTGGTAACTTGTTAGGCGATTCCTCTCATAAAATCTGAGCAAAAGGACTTATAAACCAAACTCTCTAATTGAGTCTTTAAAAATGACTAATGCAAGCTTTGTCTTTTTTTTTTTACTTTATCCCGAAGAAAAAAGAAGGAAAAAAACGAAACAAAAGTAAATAAGAGTAAAGTACTATATTACAGATGACAAATTTATATAGACGACAACAGGGAAAGAGTGGAAAGGATAATTTTAACGGTAGCAACATAACAATAATCAAAAAAACGTACGTCTAGTTAGAGTCTTCAGTTCATAAGCAGTAAACACACCAGTTCCCCAAATACCTTCATGCACTGCCAATTTGTCAGGATCTGTAAATGAAAGTAACTTTAAAATGATGCATGATATGCTTTGATCCAATTATATCCAACTAAACTGCAGCTAGGACATCCTACAAAGGATCACATAGACCACCACGTGTCTCCTGTAAAATTAAATAAAGTATATTCAGCTAATTTAACTCAATGAAAATATGGAAATTCAGCGGTATGATTATGTACAGCGTCTTGATGCCTGATTTCAAAAAGAGGCAAAAGTAACTTCTTAAAATGATATAATTAATCATTCCTTTAAGATGAGAATATCAAAACCTTTCTCATCGTTTTCCTCCTCAGCAGCATCCGGATTTGTTGTGTGTATAAAATTTGCCAGAAACAAATCTAATTCGCGTACAGCTATACTAATATGATAAGGATTTACACATAAACTTGGAAATGCACATTCAGAACATTTTTCCAAACGTTCACCATCCGTACTTTCTAAAGGAATACCCTGGAATCAGAAGTGTTCATGCCGAATATGCAATCATTATGTCGCGTATTGCTGATGATTTGAAACTTCTAAATAATCCAAAACTAAATAAGCCTATATAAGGTGGAGTGGGTTAAAAGATTTCGACTGAAAGTATCAAATTTGTTGTGAGATCACTATGTAAACCCGTAATTCATCCAGGAAAAAATCACCAAGACCGGTTTCATGACTTTTTTCCATACCTTGAATAGAATGACCATCACCAGATCAAGGCGCCATACTTTGTCCGCTTGTCGCAAGCAGTCGATTCGTCGCATCTTCCCTTTCTGGTCGGGATTTGATAGTATGCATACTGCTGGCCTCTGTCCTGTGACACAAAGGACAAAATCCTCTCGACAATGAGGCTGTATATCTTTCCTTAGCTTGCCAAGCAATCGCCCTGCCCATTTTTGCTTGATTTCCACCCGCTCACTCTGAAAATTAAAAGCCTGGAAAAAACGAGAATCGAAGTTACTAAATGAAATGCAAACGCTATTCTAAATGGATTCAATTTTCCTTCTTAGGATTTCCTCGGTGTCCTAGCAAGCGGTCATCTCTTCCTTTCTACACTGCAACAGCATTGAACAGTTCAGTTCAAACTACGTGATTCATAGTACCGACAAAAGCTAATGAATTAAGATAGTTTAAGAACCATTGAAACATTTCATTAGAACATCAGTGGTCAGCAAATGTTTGAGTTCATATCGCATGATTTCAGTAAATTTGGTAAAACTATGTGCAAACTTTCTAAAACAACTGAAAACTTGCCATTAATGCATCTTTGCAACTTTTCTCTTCATCGACTGTCATTCGCTTTTCGTTTCTTTTCATATATCTTCGCTTTGCAGCTTGTAAATTAAACCATACGTAACTAAATTCTTTCACATACGGCAATAACGCCTCCACAAACGGATGAAATTCATCCTAAAACGGATTCTCTTGGAATTCATATTCGACTTACTTGATATGATTTCCTTGTTGAATTAATTATTATCTAGCATTTAATACGATATCAAAAATGCTCCGAGAAAAGAGATGAGAATGAAAAATGATAAACTCTGGACATGATATTTCCGATATTTCCGGGATAGGAGAGTAATCTAAAGGAAATCAATCTTTGTATATTTTAATAAGCTTTGAATTAAGCAAACCACATTGCCAGCTGGATACTGACTACTGCACAATGGGTAGTCACTGATACTATTTGTCATAACTGATCAGTCTTCCTTATCGTACGAAAAAATGAACGCATGGCAGAACGGTAATGTAACCAATTTACAAATGTGTTTGCTGCTCTCTTTCTTTTTTCCTTCACCTGCAAATTACATATTTCAATGAAAAGTTATCAAAACATATTTGCCAATTGTGAATTATTCAAAACTTAGGTGAAATAAACACTACCTTACATTTAATTGGATTTATACGATCATCCAAAAAAGATTGGTATATTATAAATTATGGTTCAAAATGTCAATCTAAATATTTTAAAAAGAGAAAGTTCGATATTTTAGCATCTTAAATTTCAATCTGGGATATCGTCGATGATTATCACAATAACTGGTGACAAAAAATAAACTATAGTAAAGAATGAGTATGTAAGATCCGGAAAGATAAGAATAATGTTAATAATACAATCATCAAGTTTGTAGCATCGAAAAAAAAAGGTGAAGATGAAAGTTGTAAAGTTTAAACTCATATTTATTGTAAATGTGCATTACTTGATCCATTATCATTAATTTCAACAGAACAACCATTTTGAAGTTTAGCAAAAATCAGAAGTCAAACAATAATTTCGAAATCTAACACAGAATTATAGCGATAACTACTAGCATGCATAACATATTACTTGAGCAATTGTTTACTTCTATGTCCTTTGTAAAACGATCTATATCATATATAAAACTTATATATATAACAAGTGAATAAACGTTTGCTCTACGTGATGAATTCACGGAACTTACCTACTTCTACGTAATCTACGTAGCCAATACACAACGTTACGTATATGTAATACTGATCAATTCAACACACTTTATAGCTCCTATACATAAAACATGATCCGTAAACAAATAAAAAAAAAAAGACAGGCAAAATGCCAAGTTGGCAAATTGTTATAGGCGTTGAATATTGTAAATTAACAGATACGGTAAATGTTTGAAGATTCATTTTTATAAAACAGCTCTTTATTTAAAAAATTTTTTCAAATGTAGGAATAAGTCTTAAAACATTTGTCATATCTGTTAGTTTCTTCTCTTTAACTTTCGATACTTTTTCGTTTTCTATTAAAAAAAAAGAAGCTTTAAAGGAAAAGCAAATTTATTTCTATAAGATAGCTCTTTATTCAAAAATTTTTTTCTTTTTTTTTTTTTTTTTGAAAAAATTGCTAGCAGCAAAGAAGGCTATATGAGGATGCATGAAACTTATTGATACTTGTTGTAATTAATTTCTGTTTCAAGACTAATATTTTTTAGTAGGAATTATCGTATACGTAAAAAAATTGCTCCTACTTGATATTGTTATAATATATGGTTTGTCGCG